GAAAAAAAGACCAAAAAAAAAAAAAAAAAGGGGGCGATTATTGATGGAAATGAGCAATTGATAATAAAAGTATTAGGATAATGTAGGTTTATGAAAATCAGAGAAAAAATTTCAAGAAGATTAAGGTACTCAACAGAACACAATGCCACAAATAATTTGAGAAGATGGGGACTAAGAAAAGATCTCTGAATCTGGTTACTAAATGGATCCTTTGAGATTTTTTTCTAAATGCAGTTCTTGTCAATTGGTAAGGGCAGAAACCAGACTCTAAAAAAGTCTTAGAAGCTAAAGAATGAAAACAGTAAATGCAGACGATTTCAGAAGGTTTAGAAGATGTTAAAAAGAACTATATACACCTTGACCCCATCTTGCAACAACTGTACATAACAAAAAATAAGTACTGTTGCTACTGGACAATATTTCCTGTTCTTACTGTTCTATAAAGCTACTGTGCTAGATTAAAGCCTATTGCATTTGTGAGTATGACTGCTACTCTGAACCTGTGACCAACTGCTGATAGTGGAGCAGAAGGGAAGAGGTAAAAAGAGGTAGAACACAGTTCACAGAGGTAACAAAGACAAGTAAGGGGGCTTTTATTATTGTTGTTTTTAAGGATAGGAGTTAAGCATTTTCAGGCAGGCAAGTAAAAGAGTGGGAAATACAAGTGGAGACAACCGAGGAAGCAAACTCCAGGAAAAAGTAATATAAGTTGAGACCAAAAGCCTACCTACCTAGAGGCATTAGTTTTAGAAAGAAAGAAACAAAAAAGAAGAGACCAATAGTGAAAAATACAAGAAAATTTCAGTGAATGGAGACAGGTACAGAGAAACTGGCGAATGTGAAGGAATTTGACTCAGATGTCAATTTTTCTCAGAAAAGAAATAAATGAAGTCACCTTCTCTAAAGGGAATCTGGGGTAGGATTGTGTGTTTAAAGAGAGTTACGGTCTAAAATTGTTATTTAAGGAAATACATTAGTTCTATATTTTGAAATTAATTTTCTTAATAATTTAACCAATATAACAAAGCTCTTGATGGAATAAATATCCACCCCTCTCCATTCTTGGAATATTTAAAAGCCTATGTGACCATAATTATCATATTATTCTTTTTTTTTTGTCCTTTTTGAGACGGGCCGCACCGCGCTCAGCCAGTGAGCACACCGGTCATCCCTATATATGATCCGAACCCGCAGCGGGAGCGCTCCCAGCGCTGCATCCTCCCGAGTGCACCATGGGCGCGGCCCATATTATTCTTTTTCAAGGAAATAGTGTGTACGAATAAAACTATATATATATATATATATATATTTTTTTTTTTTCCCTTTTTGTCTCTTTTTTTGTGTGACCGGCAACGGATCACAACCCTCAGTGTCGCGCCCGTACCGGACCGGGACCGGCAACGGGATCGCAACCCTCGGTGTTGCCCCCGCACCTCGCTCAGCCAGTGAGCGGCCGGTCTGTATGTGAGATCCGAACCCTCGGCGGGAGCGCCGCTGCACTTCCCAAGCGGCGCACTGTAGCAGTGCGGCCACCGGGCCGGCCCATATATATATTTTTAAACCCTGCTATTCCCCCAAATAAGCAATACCATGGGGCACATTTTCTAATCAAGTGTAAAAGATGGATTTTCCTCTTAAATTTAATAAGACGAATAGAAACTACTTTAATAAAACTTTATATCAAGGATGCTGCAACATAAAACTGCACTAACTGTTAGAGCACTTAAAAAGGCACTGATTCTACTAACAAATTTTACTTACATCACAAGCACACATAAAACTGCACTAACTATTAGAGCACTTAAAAAGGCACTGATTCTACTAACAAATTTTACTTACATCACAAGCACACCACTCTTGGAACATGAGTAGAATATTCTTCAATTGCATCTGTATAGTAATGGCAGCCTCCCAGTCAGGATCCACTTCAATGTGTTGTCCAACCTGTCTTCTGATTTCTTCCATTCCCTGCAAGAAAAGATTGGTCAATGTATACCTATATGGGCCTTCTTTCTTTGCTCCCCTGCTGGCAAAATATAAAATGATCAGGATTCATATTCATATATGCATAGCATTTCAACATGGTTGCTACAGTAGGTCAGAATACATGGGTTCAAATTCCAGCTCTTGGGAGCACTACTCAGGGTAAAACATTTATTTGACTGCAAATCCCAGCTCTGTCTGTGTGACCCTGGGCAAATTATTTCTAAGTTGCCTTTACATGTAAAATGAGAATAATAATAGTATCGACTTCATAAGATTGCTATAAGGCTCAAAAGAGATAATACTACACATTTATCACACAGTAAAACATTCAATATACATTAACAGTAGTAGCAGTAGTAAACTAACATATATAGAAAGATCTATAAAGCAGGATCAATGAGTCAGTGTTTAAATCTTATTTCTACTTTGCTAAATTCTTTCTCATATAAAAAGCACATTTTGCTAAAAAAAAGAGAGAGAGAGAGAGAGAAAGATGAAGAAGAAAAGATGAGTTAAATTTTTAAAAATAAATTTCTCTTACTCATCTACATAAGAATCATCATACCTGCATACAGGTAAGAATCTTCAAAAAAGATCGAAAACCTTCAAGGAACTGCATTCTTAACTTTTCTGTCCATATTGTGGGCTTGCTGATCAGAATATACCTATCATTTCACAAAAGAAAGAAATATTTTACTTCCCTATTTTGAGATCATCTGAAGGTTCTCAGGGTTACAAACAATGTGATTTATCAAAATCATGGATTCTAATTTTTTACAATAATTAGAAGCTTGGGGCAGAGCTAGAATTATTTATCCTACTTTATTATACAACCAGCAAAATGTGAATGCTCTGCAACAGACAGACATCAAAGCTAAGCCTGACTTCTCCACACACTATGCCCTCAGAGGTTAATCTGACTAAGTGAGTCTAGAACTGACCTAGCCTGTCAGAGCTAACTCTGGACAATCACAGTACAGATTTCCTAGGACTTATACCAATCACCCAAAGGGCCACCTGAAATCCTTTCAGCCTCAGGAGATTTGGAACAGATTTCCTATCACCAGGTTTTCAGAACCCAGACGTGGAAGAACGATGTAAGAACCTATGTCTTCTTGCCTTACACATTAGGATATACTAGTTTCAAGAGATACGCAGACTCATTTTAGCCTACAATTTAGAAGATCAATATTTCTTAATGATATTCAACTCTGTACCCCACAGATATGTACAATCAACTACGTTACAATAAAAAAAATTTCTTTTGGCTGTAAAGACAATGACTGGTTTCATATCCAGTGAGAACAGTGTTTATCATGGAATGACTTCTCAGGAAGCAATCATTAGCAATTATTATTATTATTATTATTATTATTATTTTTTTTTTTTGTCTTTCCGTGTCCGGCAACGGATCGCAACCCTCAGTGTCGCCCCCATACCGGACCGGGACCGGCAACGGGATCGCAACCCTTGGTGTTGCCCCCGCGCCTCGCTCAGCCAGTGAGCGGGAACCGGTCTGTATGTGGGATCCGAACCCTCGGCGGGAGCGCTGCCGCGCTTCCCAAGCGGCGCACTAGCGCAGTGCGCCACTGGGCCGGCCCCATTAGCAATTATTAAAAATTGTTTAGTTCTCAACCAATTGAAATACATTCTGTTATATACCAAGAATTGAGAACATAAACATGAACAAGACACACTCTGCCCTGGAAATTCAAAGTGTAGTGCGAAAAACAGATACATATAGTGCATGCTGCAATCCAATGTAAAGAACTAAAAGAAACATACAAAGGAAGTAACGTAGGAACATAAATGACAAGGCAACAAACACAGAAAAACAAATTTTTTTGAATTGTAAAGATAGTGGGGATTGTGATTTAGTATTTACCATTCTTTAGATATCCATTATCATGGTGAATATACATTTAAAATACAATGATCAGAACCTTATCAAAGAAATAACTTTGAAATTTGCTAATTACCACCTAAATCTATCTTTTAAAGTAAAGGTTACAAAAAAAGACTAAAGTTTAAAATCTGTCACAATGAACAATGGCATCAAAGTTTGGTTGTTTTCTAGAGCACTGCTACTCAAAGTGTGGTCCACAAACCAGAAGCATTAGCATCATCTGGGTGCTCTTTAGAAATGATGAATCTTGGGCTCTAATCACTCCTATTGAAAAATAATCTGCAGTTTAATAAGCTCCCCAGAAGATTTACATCCACATTAAAATCCGAGAAGCACTATCTACAGTAAAAGAGAATTTACATTTCTAGTTTCTAGTGACCTCACATAGTTCATGCCTGACCTCTGTAGTTGACCTAGCAAGTAAAGAAGATGTAAGGGATAGGAAGAAAGGGGTAAGGCAAGGAAGGAGAAAGAAAAGGGAGTCTTTAGACAAAAATAGGAGGCAAAAGCAGTGGGAGAAGAGGGAAAAAGGCACGGATAGAGTGGGAGAGTGAGGTACTTGGTTTGAGAATCTGCTATACTTTTCAGAAATGGGACACGGGAACAAGTTAGAGTAATAAAAAGATTATATTATTCCTTAATAGAACCAAGGTTCTACTGCATCTCTTTTCTAAGTTTCATTTCCATAATGAATTAGCAACTGAGAAGCAGAATACCCCACGAGATACCTTCCATAGAGTGAGTGACAAAACAAAATTAATAGAGATATATTATTTAGGACGAAGGAGGTAGTAATCCCTCCCTTCTGTGTTTTACTAGGCAGATCTCAGTTGAAGTTCTGTGTCCACTTCTCAGCATGTAAGTGGTATAAATTCAATTGAAACAGATAAGGACAATGATTTAGAAGGAATTTAAAACAATATTAAAAGAGAACAGTTAAAGAAACGGATGTAACTTAACCTAGAAAAGACTTGGCAGATATGACTGCTGTCTTTAAACACAGTCATGTGTCATTTAACGACTGGAATATGTTCTGAGAAATGTGTTGTTACGTGATTTCATAATTGTGCAAACATGACGAGTGTACTTATACAAACCTAGATAGAGTAGTCTACTACACATTTAGACTACATAGTATGGCCTATTGCTCCTAGTCTACAAACCAGCATAACATGTTACCGCACTGAATACTGTAGGCAATCATAACACAATGGTCAGTATTTGTGTATCTAATTATATCTAAATATGGAAAAGGTAATGCATTGTGCTACAGTCTCACTAGGCAACAGGAATTTTCCAACTCCGTTATGGGACTACTTTCATATATGTACAGTCCGTCATTGACCGAAATGTCATTAAGTGGCACATGACTATAGTTTTTCAAGTTAAATGAGAACTGAAGTTGTTCTGAATGAACAAAAGGAGAGCTAGAACCAGAAAATGAAAGCTGCAAAAATAAAGAATTCAGTATACAATGATAAACTTTCTAACAGCTGGAAAGGGTTACCCAAGGTTGGAATGTACTACTTTGAGAATGAAAACTTCCTGAGGCAGGCTGAACAAAGGATCTGCTAGTACCAACAAACTTATTTCATGCTGAAGTACAGTCACATAAGTTGAGTATAATAAGGCTAGACTATGGAGAATTACAAAATCAGGAAGAATTTAGACTTTATTCTGGAAACAATTAAAATGCAGTAAGTGTCATTTCTAACTGATTTAAAAGCAGGGTTTCATGAAAAAGTAGTAAATAAATGTGTAGGGAAAGAACAAGATATGACTATAGATTTTCTACAATGTGAGACTGAGAAAATGGGCTCAATAAGCATTTGCTAAACCAAGGGTATTTCTGATTGGTGTTTTAGGCCAGATTTCAGAGTAAGTTTTATTGTTTATGTATTCTGTGAGTCTACATGATATAGTGAAAGGAATATGAGTTTTACAGATAAATTATGCTTATGTTCAAATCTCAGTCCTGCCACTTAGTAGTTTTGTGACCTTTAGGCAAATAATTATAAATCAAAAATCAAGATTATACTACCTACCATATAAGAATGTACCAAAAATAAAATGAGATAAAATAATCAAAGCTCCTTAGCACATAGCAGTTTCTAATAAATTTCACAAGATCCTTGTGAGAGTGAATTACACAGTACCTGCTGAACAGGTGCTCAAAATATGTTAATTTTCCCTTCCCTCTATCACTGGAGATATCTGTACTTAGGTGAAGCTGTAGGAGAGGAGTTGTAAGCATCAGAAGAGTGGGAAAACTTTAAAGTTACCTTACAAACCAGGGATCTTGAAGTTTTACTATATAGGTAGGTATTTAAGGATGTGCTGCCTCTAAATTATTCACTGTAGAGAATAATTATAGTCAGAGATCCATAAAATATGATAAAACAAGTGATTAGGTACCACTTATCTGGATATAAAAATAACTCAGTTATAAGAATATTTCACAGTAGTGAGAGCCACAGTAGAGATTTTTTTCAGTAAAGTAGACTGAGGATATTTGCAGACAATAACTTTAAGTACTACTATTAGAGTTTTTGTTTATTTATGTTTTGCCTTGCATAACAGGTAATTTATGCATAATTTGGCTGAGGAATAAATTTGAATCACAATGGTTATATGTTGATTAAACCACTGAATTCACCCACCTTTTCTACTTGCACTGAAGATGTGGTAGGTAACACAATTTACTAAATTTTAAAGAAAGATTTTTATGCTATATTCTTATTTAAAAATTGAGGAATTTGAAAAGATCTTGAAGCATTTCCCTCAGTAATATCAAGGATCTACTACATAGTTCCAGAAATTTGTCAAAGGTATTTTTTAAATAGGCTAAATTATTTCTAAGTTTGATTGGAAGCCCATTTGTTTCTATCCCTCTACACCTTACATGGTCACTAGAAGAAGTGGATAAAACTAGAATGATTTTTTTTCTAGGACTAGAAATAATCGTATATACCATGGAGCTCTTTATTATTAAATTGTAAACTAAATGAAATATATTTTGTCTCAATATATAACTCAAAGAAAATAATTTTTTGAAGTTTATGATTTATTGAATAGTTGGTCTGTCATACCCTTATAATATTCACCCTCTATTTCTAAAATAAATGGCAATTTATTTCCTTTTAGGTCCAACAATCCCAAGTATGATGTATCATGTGATTTCAGTTTCGGTTTAAAAATAACTCTCAATCCTCTTCAGGGAGAAAAACATAAAGAAGAAACCTCAATGAACATCAATAACTTGGTATATATATGAAGAAGGGAGTTAAAAACAAATTTACATCAATAGGTCATCTGAAACTATGCACAAAGACTATACAAGAAGGACAGAACCAAAGCATATAAGTGGAAGTGAGTGAAAGGCATGGTAATCATGACGGAGATTCATTTGGTGATCCCAGAAGACCCCAAGTTCCTGTGACAGGCCTCTCTTCAATACCTTTTTTATTAACCTAGTTTTACAACTCAATCAGAAGCCTTCATTGAAGATGTTTATTAACATGAGGCAGTAATAGTTCTTTGTACTTGCCATCATTATAAAGAGAATATTAGATAACCCAAAGGATCAGAGTTTACTTATAAGACAGAGCAAATAAGCACACTGTGTTTAGCAGATGCCCTCACCTTTTGATTTGAACAACTTACTTTAAGTCACATATTACTGCATATACTCTTCCCAATTTGTCTTGGCTATAACCCTGGAAGTTGAATTTATTGTTCCTGTCCAAGTACTCAGGTAAAACTTCTAGCAGAGTTTCAGTAATGACAGAGATAACATTCTGCTCTTCAATAAGATGTCGAGCCTGCAGAATATTTCAAGAATATTATCTTTAGCATTAACTCATTGTAGTATGGACTTACTTTGTTCATTCATTTGGTTGGTCAGGGAGTCATTTTTAACAAATGTTAACTGTGCATTAAACATAGTCTTTAGTCTCACAGAACAGCAACTACTGCTAACTTATTTTCTAAAAGTGAAAATCCCCTGCTCCTCAGTAACTAGAAAACACATGTTTGGACACCCCAAGCCCATTATATAGGTTATCTGGATAAATGCTTATCATCAGTAATCACATCATGAGCAAAGCAGAACAAAGATATACTTCATAATTCCTATCACATTACTATCTATTCTGGCATCTCGCCCTCACTCCCAGTCCAGTTTCTCCTCCCCATCCTTTTCTCTAGCTTTTTAAAAAGAGAAAGTAGGAAAAGTTAAGCAAACTGTCCAGAAGAAACAGGGAAAGGAGTACTACAAAAAAGGAAGCAGAATCTTCCACACACTCTCCTCCCAGGCCTATGTAACACCATCTCACACAAATGCTTAAAAGGCGCGACCTCCCCTTTCTCAGTTTTATCTATCTATCCCACTCCCCCAAACAATAGTTAAAGAACAAAAGAATAGTTTAAAAAATGAAAAGTTTTGGTAGCAAAAAGGCAGTGCTCCTAAGTTACCCTAGAAAGTGACAAATCAGCTCTAGATGTCAGTTGCAGGGATCAGGACATTTAGACAAAAGCAGTGGACTAGTTATTTAGTCCTTGGATACCACTAAAATATTATTCACATGCAGATACCACTGAAGTACTATTTCCAAATGGTAACTGCCCAACTTAGTGATTCTGATGTTAATTTGACTCAACATTAAGTGAAATTCTTAAAAAGCAAAACAGGTTTTATTTAGAAAGACTGCAAATAAATAATCAATACATACCAGAGTAGGAACAGTAAACATCTGATGTTAATTTGACTCAACATTAAGTGAAATTCTTAAAAAGCAAAACAAGTTTTATTTAGAAAGACTGCAAATAAATAATCAATACATACCAGAGTAGGAACAGTAAACATCTGAACTGAGAGGGCAGTTACAGAGATACTTCTGTCATGATCATCACTGATATATTCTTTCTGCAGCTGTTTATAATACTGAAAAATATACGTGGAGAATCAATTATAAGTCATTACCAAAACTTTTAAAAGCCCAATTTTCATAACTGCTGCAGTTTGTTTCTATCTCTAAGATGATAAGTAGTATAATTCCTATTTATTAAGGCAAGATATGATCAACAAAAATATTTTAGAAAGAGAATAACAAACAAAAGACCAAATATGAATTCAGGTACAATCTAGAGCAGTTGGGAATGCGAACTGTTAAAAAAAACAAAAACAAAAACAAAAAAACACAGAGGACTGCAATAGCGCAATTTATCCCTTCTCCAAACAGAATCTGGGGCAATCTTTAGCAGATTCTACTCCAATGGTATAGGGCAGGGGATACATTCAAAGTATTTAAGAACTGATACAACCCAGAAAACCAAACAATCAGATTCAATCCAGACTTAAACAGAAAGAATGCTGGCTGCAAACAACTTCTTATCCATACTGGTGCATACCACCTAAAAATCAACTCTGATATAATGAGAGAACAAAAATAATAATATACCCAGTATCTATTATGTGTAATCACAGAGTTGGATACTTGACCTATATATTTAATTTTACCCTCCAAAATTTCTACAAAGTTTAAGATGCTACCAAGGTGTACAAAAAACAAACAAACATCTAAGTAGCAAGACTAGCTTTTGTATAAGAAAACAAAATTTCATTTTAGATAGCACATATGACCCAATATTCTCTCTAAATTTTAGAATAAAGTTGACATCTTGAGTTTCCATCATCTCTGAAGGATAAGACACACCAAATGTCTTATATTTTATCTATATACTTGTGAAATGCAGGGAATGCAAGTATCTTATCCCAAAATATCTTCCTACAACAATCATTACTTCTCTCTCTGCTTCCAATTCCACCCTGGGTCCTATCTATGCCCTGTCTTAAATCTTACAGAACTGCCTGTAACTCAGAATCAGAGGAAATCAACAAGTATGTATTAGATATCTTTGTATAAGGCAAAATAGAAGATTCAAAGAAGTCCCTCCTCTGTATAACCTGGCAATCTAACTTGGGAAATAGATAAAAAGACACAACAGTGTAAGGGATATACAATATATCAATAAAACAACAAAAAACAACTGTAAATTTTATCCTTGTGTTTTAGCCATCTAATTCCTTCCTGCCTCCCCTTAGCATGTGTCTAATTCCTCTTTCCTACTATTCTTTTCAAGAAGTCATTTCTACTCTTGTTATAATTTTACTAACAGGCAAATGAATGATTAGAAAAAATGAATATATGTGTGAATGTGATAACCTCCCTTTGTTCTATCTGGGCAAATAGGTCATTTTCCATCTATCTCTTCTCCAAGACTGCTATTTCCATATTACCAAATGCCATTTGTGAAAATATTTATATAACATAAATAAACTTTTGATAAAGAAATGAATCATAAAATTCAATTATTTTGATTCATTATTATCCACTTGTTTCCATTATTGCATCTATAAAGACCGCCTTCTATATCTATTTATTGATATTAGTTATCAAGAGCAATTACCTTCACAAATTCCATAGCGAAGAGTTTTTTGTATTCCACCTCCATAAAAAAACTGCTGAAGATCAATTCGTGAAGAATCTTACGGGCACCTATAGATCACAGGGAGAAAGAGAGGGGAAGAGGGGGAAGGGGGGATGTAAAGGAAGAATCACCAAGGCAAAAAAAAAAATAATAATTCCAGCTATTAGAAGTGGCAGAGTATTGGGCCGGCCTGTGGCTCACTCGGGAGAGTGCAGTGCTGATAACACCAAGGCCCCGGGTTCGGATCCCATATAGGGATGACCGGTTCGCTCACTGGCTGAGCGTGGTGCTGACAACACCAAGTCAAGGGTTAAGATCCCCTTACCGGTCATCTTTTAAAAAAAAAAAAAAAAAAAAGAAGTGGCAGAGTATTATAAAAATATTTCACATGGTAATAGACCTCAAGGACTCAGATATGAAAGTATCTGCTGCATTAATTTAATAGTTAGAATTTAAAGTACATTGAGCTGCGGGTGCAACACCGAGGGTTGCGATCCGTTGCCGGTCACGAAAAAAGACAAAAAGGAAAAAAATAAAAATAAAAATAAAGTACATACATATATTGCCTTTCCCTCTTTTTCTGCACCCCTCCCATTCCTTTTCACTCAAAACTACTTTCTGTACTTTTCTTTCTCCATACCCGTTAGTCTTTCCCTTGACTTTTACTTTTTAAAACGAAATTTAACATAGCTTTAATAATGGCAGGGTCCTCAAAAAGTTCATGGAAAATAGGTATTATGAAAAAACTAGGCATGGATTTCAAAAATTTTTTGCCCCAAAATAAACTCATACTAACTTGTTATAACATATCTAAACAGGATCTAGTCTGAGGGACTAAGAAGGATAAGACAGCAGTTTGAAAAGAGCCCCTATCACAGCAACATGAGTTCTGCTAAACTTGATGTAAGAACAAACTTCAAATTTATGGTGAAGCTTGGGTGGAAGAAGGGTGAAATCAATGATACTTTATGAAAAGTTTATGGGGACAATGCCCCAAAGAAATCATCAGTTTACAAATGGATAACTCATTTTAAGAAGGCACAACATGATGTGGAAGATGAAACTCACAGTGGCAGACCATCTATATCCATTTGCAAAGAAAAAATAAATCTTGTTTGTGCTCTAATTGAAGAGGACCGACAATTAACAGCAGAAACAATAGCCAACACCATAGACACCTCAATCAGTTCAGCATACACAATTCTGACGGAAAAATGACAGCTGAGCAAACTTCCTGTTTAGTGGGTGCCAAAACACTCAGATAACTACAGGCATGACTAGAGCTTTCAATGAAAATTTTAAGCAAGTAGGATCAAGTCCTGAAGCATTTCTTCCAAGAATTGTAACAGGAGATAAAGCATGGCTTTACCAGTATGATCCCTAAGACAAACACAATCAAAACCATGGCTACCAAGAATGGACCAGTCAAGAGCAAAGGTCATAGCAACAGTTCTTTAGTATGCTGAAGGCATTTTGCTTGTTGACTTTCTAGAGGGCCAAAGAACGATAACATCTACTTATCAAGAGAGTCTTTGGACAAAGTGAGCCAAAGCTTTAACAAAAAAAAACTCCCGGGAAAGCTTCACTAGGGAGTCTTTCTTCATCACAACATTCCTATCATTCTTCTCATCAAACAATGGCAATTTTGCGAGAGTTTGGGTGGAAAATCATTAGGCATCCACCTCACAGTCCTCGTTTGGCTCTTTCTGATTTCTTTTTGTTTCCTAATCTTAAAAAATCTTTAAAGGGCACCCCTTTTCTTCAGTTAATAATGTGAAAAAGAGTGCACTCGGGCCGGCCCGGTGGCACACTGCTACAGTGCGCCGCTTGGGAGCGCGGCGGTGCTCCCGCCGAGGGTTCGGATCTCACATACAGACCGGTTCCCGCTCACTGGCTGAGCGAGTTGCAGGTGCGACACCGAGGGTTGCGATCCCGTTGCCGGTCCCGGTCCGGTACGGGCGCGACACTGAGGGTTGCGATCGTTGCCGGACACGAAAAAAGACAAAAAGGAAAAAAAAAAAAAAGAAAGAAAAAGAGTGCACTGACATAGTTAAATTCCTAGGATTCTCAGTTCTTTAGTGATGGACTAAATGGCTGGTATCATCACTTACAAAAGTATCCTAAACTTGATGGAGCCTACATTGAGAAATAAAGTTTATATTTTATCTTTTTTTTTTATATATTGCCTTTCCCTCTTTTTCTGCACCCCTCCCATTCCTTTTCACTCAAAACTACTTTCTGTACTTTTCTTTCTCCATACCCGTTAGTCTTTCCCTTGACTTTTACTTTTTAAAACGAAATTTAACATAGCTTTAATAATGGCAGGGTCCTCAAAAAGTTCATGGAAAATAGGTATTATGAAAAAACTAGGCATGGATTTCAAAAATTTTTTGCCCCAAAATAAACTCATACTAACTTGTTATAACATATCTAAACAGGATCTAGTCTGAGGGACTAAGAAGGATAAGACAGCAGTTTGAAAAGAGCCCCTATCACAGCAACATGAGTTCTGCTAAACTTGATGTAAGAACAAACTTCAAATTTATGGTGAAGCTTGGGTGGAAGAAGGGTGAAATCAATGATACTTTATGAAAAGTTTATGGGGACAATGCCCCAAAGAAATCATCAGTTTACAAATGGATAACTCATTTTAAGAAGGCACAACATGATGTGGAAGATGAAACTCACAGTGGCAGACCATCTATATCCATTTGCAATGCGCTCCCAAGCGGCGCACTGTAGCAGTGCGCCACCGGGCCGGCCCCTTTTAATTCCATTTTTCTATGAACTTTTTGAAGTTCCCTCATATACACACTCTTTTTAACTGGCCCTGACTAAATAAAAAGGTACTATAATTAAAAGGCAATATCCCTGGATTTTGACAAAGAATACATAGTGATTGGTTAACCTTACCTTCACATATAATATCTTATCAATCAAGATCACAGGTTTAATAGCTGATTTAATAAACAAAAGATATTACAGATCCACTTTAAGGTCATAATCTGCCTTTGTTTCCTGGCAAGCAGCATAAGCAAAGGTCTACCTACCTTTATAAAGCTTTGCATCCCAAAGCATTAACCTGCTTATCAGACAGGGATTCTTAGAGCCAGGTTCTTCTCTAAGGCATGCTTGGCAAAAAATCTGCCTAAAGTCACCTACAAACAAAAAAAGTGTTATAATAATATTTCTCCTAAAAATACAATTCCTATATTAATAACATGTGAAAAGACTAACATTAATCCTCCAACACTTGATGTCAAGAATAATTCTGTCAACATCAGAGACTCAAGAGTCTTTAAAGGATACTATTTGATATTACGCATTTGAAATGCAATCCTGAAAATTAATAAAAATGCGCAAATCAAAAAAATTTTTTTTGTTATACTCAATGACATTTAAAAAGTTGTAGCTATAAAAAACACAGAATTTTGTCAGAAATAAGAAAAATAGGCTATATGCTTACTTGAATAGCTCATAATTTTGTTCATCCAGGAGCCAAGACGCAAAGCAAATTTCTGATGAGCCATAACCCCAGAGTGTAATACTTCTACATGAAGTGGATGTTGAGAGACGTTTTCTGAATGACTCTACAATGAAGGAAACATTAAAAAACAAAAAACCAGAAAACTAGCATTTAAATTTTTCTTTTAGCTAAGTGATCTATCCTTCAAAAAAAAACAAAAACAAAACAAAACAAATTGCATAACCCTGCCAGTTCCAAATCTCTGGGTCTAAGTGACCCAATCCTATCTTTACATTTGATGTCAAACCACTTCAACAATATGATCACTCTAATCATTCTACTTAGGCTCTTGTACATTCTTCTTAAAATTCTCTTTTTGTCCCTAATTCAGAAAATTACCTTTATATCTTCCTTTGCTTCCTGGCAAGCAGCATAAGCACCTGCTTTAACAGCCCGACGACCCTTATTATAGACAAAAATGACAATTAGGTACTAGAATGATAACCATAATCAATAAGTAATATATAGCCCAAAGACTTAATAAGCTCTCAATTATTAATCACTTATTGACTGACTGAAATTCATAAGATTCACATAAATATTTAACACCTTTACGAAGCATCAAAACTTTAAATACCTCTAGAAGATAATTTGCTAGGCAAGAAACCCAGCAAGAATGGCGGTTCTTTACTTATTGTAGTGTACTCCTTACTTGCATCAGATAATAACTCACACTTACTAAACTCCTACTATGTGTTTTAAATACTTTCATGAATGAATTTAGAACTCCTCAATGTGTGTTCTATAACATACTTGTGGTCTGTTAACGGGTTGGACGTCTGGCCAGGCTATTGATTTCTCAAGCTCTGGGGGCAGCCAAGCAAGGACTATGTAGGATTTCCCGGTAGCTCACTCTTTTACTCACTTGTAAAAATTTACCATTTTCTATGTTTGCCATGTGAAAATAGTTAGAAAGCACTGTCTTTCTCACTTGACCTTTACAATAACCCTTGAGGAAGGTATCCCATTTTACAGATGAGAAAATCAAGACACAGAGAAGTAATTTGTCCCCAAATCAGAAAGTTAGTAAGTGGTAGATCCAGTAATCTATGACAAGCAGCACATCTCCACAGCCTGCACTTCTAACCATTCTATAACATTTTCTCTTTAACTCCTTAGTATGTATGTATAAGAACTACCCAAATTTATTTGGACTATTAGTTATACCAATAAGGTTGCCATTACAAAGGAGAAAAAATGCACAAAAAAACCAAGCCATAAGAGATTTTAAAAAGAAGAGATAAGACAATCATAGCCATATATCCAAGCTTATATGCACGAGATACTGGCAATTAACCTAAAGCAGTAGATTTCAATATGAACGGGGGAGGAGATCTGCCTCATATCCATTAGGATGGCTACTATCAAAACAAACAGAAAATAACAAGGGTTGGCAAGGATATAGAGAAACTAGAATGCTTGTGCACTGCTGGAGAAAATATAAAATGGTGCAGCTGTTATATAACACAGTAGAGCAGTTCCTCAAAAAATTAAACATAGAATTCTCATATGATCCAGCAATTCCATTTTTGGATATAAACCCAAAGGAATTAAAAA